AGGGAGGAGCGTCGCGCTGCGCCGAGCAGCGTTTACCTGTGCCAAGGGCGGCCGCGGGCACCCACCGTTGGGGCCGTTTCTTTGTTGGAGACGCTGCCCGCGAGGAGAGCGGCGAGCCCGCCCGCCCCGCGCTGCGAGAGGGGAGCGCGCCATGCAAGATTCATGACCTGAGTTTCTTGGGACCTCCTTGTAAACATTTCTACTCCTCCTACCAAATGGGATGTATTTAGTAAGAGCAAAGGAAAAAAAAAACAGGCAAATACTTTCAAAGTATAAAGTAACTTATTAGTGGAATGTTTTAAGCAAAGTGAGAAATAGGAACAACCAGATCTGGAAGAACTGATAAAAATCACATAGAAATAATTTCTGAAATGAGTTCAGCAGCTTACAAGTGACACTTGGCTTTCTTTGAAATGAGACCTTTGAGGGTGAGGATGGTAGATGGGAGCACTGAAGAAGGGCACCACACGCCCAAGAGGAGATGGAGACAGCGGCTCCCTGGGATGGTGACAGCTCCTACTCATGTAGCATTGTATCTCGTTTCACAAATGGACGCACAGATACCCATGGGTCATCTTTTACAGTGAGGTACAACTCACAGCGCCCACAACCAACCACGTCTGGCCCACTGAGAACAGTATCTAGTCCATGCGAATTAAAACAAATCTTCCCAGCAATTCCTACCCCCCCTACTTTTTTCTATTTTTTTTAATGACTACTTCCAAATTTTCCTTAGTTTAGGACATTTGCTAATTGTACAAAAACATTATATTGGTCATCTGCCATCAGCAGTAGGAAAATTAAACAGTAACAAATAACACATCCTGGTGTCTCTGCTCAAGTGCTTTACTAACTTCCCTGCTGTGTGCCAGCCACAGCTCAGAGGACTGTAACGCTATCCCTTTTCAAGCACCCTTAATATCCTGAAAGAGAATGAATTGGTGGGATGTGTTACTCGCAGAATTTCATTGCAAGACAAAGCACTCACACTTATTCCTTGCTGTTCAAGGTGAGACAAGGTCAGCCATTTCAGAGGGGCAGTTCTACCTACGCCAGGTTTCGTACCAAAAGAGCTGGTGAGCTCGGCCTCATTTCTACAGAGAAGCCACAACTTCAGGGAGCAGCTCCCACCGCCGGCACTGGCAGGCGGCACAGGGCTGTCCCAGTCCCCGCTCAGCCTCTCACCCTGGAAGCAGCTCCCGGCATCCCAGCCACACGGTGATACGGGATTTACACACCCGCTGCCTGTCTCGTGAACAGGGACTGAAGTCACCAAACTCCTAACTTAAGCTCTTTAGTTACAAGCACTAAAATCGCAGGAAATATCTTAAGTTTTGTGCAAAAGGGACTGATGATTATTTTGCCCAACTTGCATGCTGGCAAAGGAATAACTAAGCTCACAGAAATACTCACATAATACAAATGGAGCACGCACTGAATATGAGTGCTGACCAGCGATGGTATTGGGAGTTTTCACTGCTTTGGATTTTAAATAAGTGCAGATAAACAAGTATTAAATATGCTGTACACAAAATAAAGCTTTCTTTATTTCACATGCCAAAATATGCTGTAAAATAAGCCATATAAGGCAATCCTTTTTTTTTCCCCTCAAAAAAAATAGTAGTTTAAATGAGGAAATACTGAATTTTCCTCATCAGCCTGTTTCTAACTTTGGTAATGCACTGACATTTGAGGATACAAATATAAGCCAGCTATTTTACTCACATTCTCTCATTCCTTCCATCATGTTCTTCATTTCATCCCTGAAGTATTTAAAATAAGGCTCACACAGGGTATGTGTTCTTTCGAAGAGACTTTGAAAGTGGATAGGGAAAATTTAAGAAAATGCGCTGTGGAAAAAAAAACCAGTGTGGACTATGATCTAAGGCTTGCATTTTCATTCAGGTTTGAGGTAAGGTCATTCAATTACAATGAGACTATGTCCACAGAGCGATAAAGCAGGCAAGGGACGCAGACTGTGTTTGCATCCTGCTTCCTAGGCCAGGCAAGGAGCAAACTGAAACCCGCACCTTCAAACCCGGGCAGAGGGATCAACCTCGGGTGCTTCCCAATTGCTTCTGTTACACAAGATGAAATGCACAGAGACCAGGGCAGATGCTGGGCACGAATGGATTGTTTTCTGGGATTTCTTTCTTCAGTTAAGTGCAAATTTCCCACTGAGAGAGCACACGGCACACGCGGCAAAGGGAAGCGTGGCACCCTGCTAGGTGAGCAGCGCGGCTCTGGCGTTGGGTGCTCGGGCAGCAAGCAGAGCCAACGGCCTTTCTGCTCCCCGCGCCCTGCAGCAGCAGGGACAGCGCACACAGGGCTCTGCGCAGTCACTTCGCTTCCCTATGCGGGTAACGCCTCTGCATGAAGGAACGAGCCCCACACAGCACAAGGGGCTGTGTAAGGACATACAGGGACACGGTGTACCCTGTGTCTGTAAGAGATGGAGGTATCGGGGCCAAGGCGAGCCCCAGTGCCCCGCATGGCGCTGAGGGAGGCACTCGCGTGCCCAGTGCTCCGCGCGGGAGCCAGCAGCAACGGTCGGTAACGGCCGCGCCGGCAGGGCCGCGGGGGCTGCCGGGCGCTGTAGTGCAGGGCAGTGCCCGTGCCTCTGGCCCACGCTGGGCCCTGCTGCGGGCCGGAGCCCCACGGGGCTTCCAGGGAGCTGCGAGCCGAGGCAGGAGCATGGAACAAGTGGGCGCTGGGAAGCTGCTCTTGCAGTGCAGCTCTCTAATCAGAGGGCACTGAGGGATCACTTGGGAATTGGGGCTTCTGGGGAGGGTTGTTTTGGACTGGAGCTTCACAGTGACACAGGTTCAGAACGACAGTTTGCCACCGAAACTGAATTAGTTTATAGCTATTTCCAGGCTATTCATAACGCAAACCTAGATAGCTTTATTTATTTATTTATTCCCCCACATCACTTCCTTCCTATCAATACAGGACTAGGAAGGGCCCTTCTGGGCTCCGGAGCTCGCTCTCCTGCCAGCAGCGTCCAACTTGTCGCGCAGTGGCTGTGGCATCCATACCTCGAGCCGGGCTGGAGGATTCGCACCCACTTCTCTGCCCACAAAGGCCAGATCAAGCCCCCTTGGGTGGTGCTTCTAATTTACTTGCAAGTTAGAACTTGAAAAGACAAAGACCATTCATACTTGTTTATTCATGGGGTAATACTGTAATAATTGTTTCGTCTCTGTCCCTGTCCAGTATTCACATGCTTTTAATAGACTGAGTCATGTGAATGATCTTGGGCATTTGGATTCTCTTTGCAGTATAGATTCTCTTTGCAATACAAGCTCTCTGCTCCCTGAGGTCATTCCTATTTCCTCTTTCCCGTAAATTCTCCTGTCAGGAGCAGACATTTGGGGGCCTCACAAGCACCCTGT